GCACAGAAAGGGCCTGCTACTTACTCACAACCGTTGTCTTAAACTTGTTGTTGTCATATTCGGCTCCACAGATTTCCACCTCTACAAAGGGACAGGCAATACTCCGCCCAAGTTTGGGGAGGTGGCGTGCGCCAAGAACCTAGGACACAAAAGGTAGGAGTTGGAGTCCTGGATCTGTCCTGGTGGAGCTGAACTTGACCCAATGGCATCATGGGTTTTGTTGGGATTCTAGAGACAAACCATTCAAGTTCAGAGCCAGACTTATCTACTAGACCTCTGAGGTATGGACACTGACCACCAACCTTAAATGCTTGACGGCTAGCAACTATCCGTGTTTGATGGTGGAGTGTCAGTGGGTTCCCAGGCTTGAATAAGCTTTCACTGGAGTAGAGGCCATCTGATTTGGGGGCGGGGGGGTCTCACCTGAGCATAGCAACAGGGTTTCTTAACACTGGATTTTCCAGAGAAAATGCAGGGCCGTCTATTTATGATTGAACTTTATTTAAGAAAGACCATACATAGCCTTATTTTTTTGAGACAAGGTTTTGTTTATCCCAAGCTGGCTTCAAACTTGCTATCCAGACCAGGATGGCCTAACACTCATGGCAATCCTCCTGCCTCTCCCTAGTGCTGGGATTCAAGCATGTGTCACTGCACCCGGTTTATGCAGGCTACAGATGGAGCCTGGGGTTTCGAGCGTGCTAAGCAAGCACGTTGCCCACCAAGCTACAGCCTCAACATTCCACTTTTCCCTTCGTTTCTTCCCAAAATTCTAAGGACTGGGTTAATTTAAGAAACCTCTGAGTGCTCTGAAGGCAAAAGGGAGATGAGCTCTCCTCCTGGCCAGAGGCTGACTTCAGAGGAACTTCTGATTTACACCCCAGACAAAAGCAAGAGGCCAAGAGGGGTTTAAAGAAGGCGCTCCAGGATGATCCTGGGGTGAACTGTATGAGCTTGGGATATGGCAGCTTAACCAGTGCAAGGATGTCACCACCCCAGGGAGGCCGCCCACCTGCCCCTCTACCTTGACGGTGAGAGTCATCAAGATCTTCCTTTGCGACTCTGGGGACATCGGGTCGTACTTGTCAGACCGCATGCTCTCGGGCTGCAGGACGTAGCCCGTCCGCCCATTGAGCGAAAACAACGCATGGTTCATTTGCATGTACTTGTCTGGAAGGAGACAGGGGGAGGGGGGTGTGAGGTGACTGGGACTCTGGCACCTGGCGGGCATGGGGCATGGGTGCACACCCTTTCTTTGGTGATTCATGGCACTGTTCAAAAAGGTCTCTGGGGGCTGGAGTTGGCTCAGTGGTTAAGAGCACTGGCTGCTCTTGCAGAGGACCTTGGTTCAATTCCCAGCACCCATGTGGCAGCTAATAACTGTCCATAACTCCAGTTCCATGGGCTCTGACACCCTCTTCTGACCTCCTGGGGCACTACATGACACAGGTGCACTTACAAGTAGGCAGTACACTCATACACATAAAATAAATCTTTTTAAAATGGCACCTGAGGGGGCTAGAGAGATGGCTCAGCAGTAAAGAACACTGTTCTTGCAGAAGACCCAGGTTCAAATCCCAGCACCCACATGGCTGCTAACAACTGTCCGTAATTCCAGGTCCAGGGGATCCTACAGCCTCTTCTGTCCTCCGTGGGCATTGCAGGACATGGGTGCACTTACCTACACGCAGGCATAACAGTCATACACATAAAATAATAATTTTTTTAATGGCATCTGGGGCTGAAGAGATAGCTCAGAGGTTAAGAGCAGTGACTGCTCTTGCAAAAGACCTGGGTTCAATTCCCAGCACCTACATGGTGAGTACAAACCATCCTTAACTCCAGTTCCAGGGGAATCCGAGGCCACCTTCTGACATTCAAGGCATCCACGCAGACGATACCCTCACACATGGAATAAAAATATTTTTTTTAAAAAGGCATCTGCAGCCAGGCACAGTGGCACATGCCTTTAATCCCATCACTCAGGAGGCAGAGGAAGGTGGATCTCTGAGTTCCAGGCCAGTCAGGGATGTATGGTGAGACCCTGTCTCAAAAACAACAATAAAAAAGCAAACAGATATTTGACTCCAAGAAAACATGGGAAGAGGGATTAAAAAAGAACCTCACATCAGGAACAATCTTCTGTCATATTTGGAAGAGTGAGGCCTTTAGGAGATTAAAATCTGCTAAAAGGAAGCGTGGAACAGGGCTAGAGCACTTGCCTGGCATTTATAAGACCCTGAGTTCCATCCCTAGCACCAAAAAAACATTGCAAGTTAAACCATGTTAGTTCAAGGGCTGGTAAGATGGCTCAGTGGGTAAAGTTGCTTGCCACACAAGCCTGATAACCTGAGTTCAATCCCTAGAACTCAAGTAAATGGAGAGAACTGACTCCACCAAGCTGTCCTCTGACTTCCACACGTACGCCATGGCACACATGCCCACACACATACAGTAATTCAATCACTTTTGTTCAAATGACAGGCACGTACAAGATGCCTTTGTTGATACATTGGGTAAGATGATGGAACAGTTTGCAGGAAAAAAACCTCAAACAGCCCTTGAGTCCGTAGAAAAATGGGTTAACATCACTCAGCCAACAACGCCCTATGAGAAACTCTACAATTTGGCATCAGTTTTCACTTATCTGATGGGTAAAGATGGGAAGAGCTCCATAGGAGCACAGTACTGAAGTTACATCAAAGGACTGTACTTCTGCCCAGTGTAGGGGAGGAACCAGGGCGAGCGTCCCAGCAGCTCAGGCACAGTTCCAGCGCAGCTGGATAGAGCTGCTCAGTTTATCAAAATACAAGTGCCATGGCACCCACCTGCCCTGCCCAGAGGAGATGTCTATGCCCCAGCTGTACACCTAGACCTGGGAAGGATGCTCATAGGAGCGTCCTCAAGGCAGCAGCGTCTGTGGTAGACAAAGACGGGACATGAAATCCACATGGCCATAAACAGAATGCACAGTAAGCTCTGAACAAGTGCAAACCGCTGTGGCTTATGCTTGAAAGTTTGTGTGCGGGGAGTGTGGAGGGAGGGGATGGTTCCCCACCCTGTGAACCTCTCTGGAAGATAGTATAAGCATGAAGCCCTCAAAAACAAATGGCCACAACATGGCTACCACCTGGCCCGGCCAGGCCGGGTACCTGAGCCATTTACCTGCAGTCTGGAAATTGAGCGCTACCATCTGGGAGCCACAGAGCCATAGCCGGAAGGGGTCATAGTTTGAAGAGTCAACTCTCTGTCCCTTTGGGTAGACTCGGGTCAGGCCCTTGTGATTGTACCACAGGAGATCTCCCAGCTTCTGTCTGACAATGCTGTTGGCCTTCATCTCTACGAAGGAGCGGATTTCTCGGAAGTCGGGGTTTTCTGCACACAGGAAGAGAGCATCCTTTATTCTGGTCCTGACGCCTTCATTGCAAGGGTTGGGGATCCAGGTGATAAAAGGAAATGAAGAGATCCTTTGGGGCTGATGTGCTTTCAATGCACAAGGACCTGAGCTGGATCCCAGTATCCAGCAGTGGGGAGGTAGAGACAGATGGATACCTGGGGCTCACTGGCCAACCAGCCCAGCCTACTAGGTGAGTCCCAGACCAATGAGAGAGACTGTCTCAAAACGCCCTGATGGACTGCCAACATTGATATCTGGCCTCCACACATGCAAGTGCACCTGCACATATGAATGCACACGCTGATAGTTTTAACTGTCATCTTGACACAACCCAGAACCACCTGGGAAGAGAGTCTCAGGGACTTGCCTAGATCAGGTTGGCCTGTGGTTGTGTCTACAGGAGACTGATTATGTTAATTGAGGTGAGACCAGGCCCACTGTGCATGGCACTATTCCCTGGGTTTGGCCTTGGACTGTGTAGGAGAGAGCAAACTGGGTGCTAAACATACGTCCATTCATCTCTCTCTGCTCCTGATTGTGGAGGTGAGGGGACTAGCAGCCTGGAGCTTCTGCCTTGACTTCCCCTCAATGATACGCTGTAATCTGGGGCTGCACGCTAAAACGAACCCTTTCTTGCCTAGGTTTCTTTGGGTCGAGGTATTTTATCACAGCAACAGAAATGAAATTGGAACACACATTCGAAAACTCCTAAGCACGGTGGCAATCGTGCCTTAATTGGTAACACTTGCCCTTGGCAGGGTCCGGTACTACAGGAAGGTCTTACATGATAAAAAGACCCAGTTTTCCCATAGCTTTTCCATCTGGACATATCATAATTTATGTTTTGTTTTTAAACTACCAACATCCTTGCTGTGGAGGCACCAGAAAGGCTTCTGCCGAACTTCCATGAAGGAGATGAATGTTCCCTACGTCCTCTCTGACGGTATCGGACTTGGCAAACAGCAACGCAGAGTCCCAGGAGACGTACCCAAATGGTCCTTGGTTTTGCTGGTTGGCTTGCAGTAGACAACCAGGCCGGAGAGCTCAATGGCGATGGACTGGTTCTTTTCCCAGTACCTCATGTTGTTCTCCTGTGGGAAGTCCACACCATCGGCTGCGGTGCCGAGCCGGCATCTGCGCAATGCCACTCACACCTGGCCAGCCCTTCTGAATACCCAGGGTAGAACAGTTTCCTGTCCTGTAGACAACCCACCTTCCCTGTTCCCTTCCCCATCCTATGTTCCCAGCCAGGACTCGGCATCTGGAACAGCCCTGCCACAACTCCCAAAAGTGGGTGGGAGGAGCTGGCTCAATGGTTAAGAGACTTGCTGTGCAACCATGAGGGCCTGAGTTCTGATCCCAGCACCCATGTTACAAGCCAGGTCTTGCACATGCCTGGAACCCCAGTGCCTGCTGGGGGAGGAGACAGGATTTCTGGGGCATGCTGCTGCTGGCCTCCCTGAAAAACCTAAGTTCTGGGTTCAAAGAGAGACCCTACCTCAAAGGAACAAAGTGATGGGTACAGAGGAGGAAACCAGATCCCCTCCTCTGGCCTCAGAACATGCACACAGGCATGCGCACACACACACACTAGGTAGGAGCACGGCTTTAATCCCAGCACTTAGGAGGCTGAGGCAAGAGGTCACATTCAAAGCCAATCTGAAGCAGATGGAGGCCAGAGGGAAGGGAACTTTTATCATCCCATGCTATTCTCTGCCTCCTGTCCTGTTCCCTTTCCCCCTAAAGCTACATTGTTATAGTTCACAGAACTCTCATTTTCCAAACCCTGATAGGTCCCACAGACCAGCACCTCTATCCCCTGCACCCTTGAAACAGGTTCAACCTCTTCCCTGCCTCCAACTTGCCCTGCACAGCTCAGTCAAGAGGGCTGGCTGTCTCCCCAGGGCCCAGGTCACAGCACATGGGCAGGGGGATGGGGAGGAAGTCCTTCACATACCCACTGTGTAATGCTACCAGATTAAGAATGAACTGCTCAGGGCTGGAGAGATGGTTCAGGGGTTAAAAGCACTGGCTTCTCTTGTAGAAGACTTCAGTTCAATTCCCAGCACCGACACAGCAGCTAACAACCATAACTCCAGTACGAGGGGATCTGATGCCCTCTTCCAGCCTCCACAGGCACTGCACAACACAGGTGAACTTACATGCCAGCAATACACTGATACACATAAAACTACATAAAATATTTTTAAGAATGAACCTCTCATCTCCCCTTAGCATCTCATGTGAAATGTTTGAGGAATATTGTCAAGGTGTCTACACATCCTAAGGCAGAATTACCTCCATCTACACAGATTGAGTACCTGACTCCAGATTGCACAGCCAGTGTCAAGGCCAGACGCATAAGCTACTGGCTGACTCAAAGTGCAAGCTCACTCTTGCCCTGCCTGCCTCCTTTCTCATCATCAGCCACCAGGTCCTGGATAGGATGCCACCTGTGTGAGGTCTGCTGCCTCCTGTATCTAGCACCAGAGTTCAGAGCCTGGGGTCCCCCTCAATGGCAGCGATGGCCTCCCTCTCCTGCTGGTACAGCAGAACTCCACCTGGACCAGCATCCCTTCCTGGGGAAGCCTCCATGGAGAGGGAACCATCTATGATTCAGGGAGAATGCCTTCTAGAAAGCTTCCAGCTCATTCCCTGCCACACCTGGTCTCAGCCCTGCTTCATCCATCGGTCCTGGAAAATATGTTAGTAGACCTGTCCCCCACTGAGACGTGTCCATTGGCAGGGAACCCTGGTGTCAGGTGGGGAGTGGTGATTTGGAGAGGGACAACACAGTTAAGACAGTTGGAGCTAGAGTCAGAGACAGAAGCTTGAAACCCTGTCCTGCTGCTGACAAACTGTGTCAACTGCGAAAGTCCTATAATCCCTCTGTGCCTCAGTTTCCCCAACTGTAAAACCAGGCTAATGTGAATGCTCACCCTCCCCACCCCCAGGGTAGCCTTAAGGCTTGAACTAGGAAGCTCTAGCACTCTGCCAGACACTCAGCATCAACAGATGGCAGCATTTAGATGCCCTGGGGACGCATCACAAGGTCATTTTTGGGAAATCCACCAACGTGAGTGCCCATTCCTACTATGGTAGTGCCTTCAGGCATGTGTGCTGCGTCATCTCTAGAGCCAAGGTGGACACTGGCGATGACCAACAAGCAGACCCTCTACACGGTCATATCACCAGGAAGGCCTTGAATAGGCCTACAGCTGACTCCTCCAGTCTGAAGGTCCTGGGTGCAAAGTGAGGGAGAGCCAGAGCATCAAGGCTAGGATGGTTGTGAGTGGATAAAGGAGGTGAAGGTGTCTGTCTCGCAATCATGCGCTAGCCAGGCTGGACCCTACATAGCTCCCAAGATCAGCGTGCTGTGGTGTCGTGGTACACATCCCTAATTCCAGCACTCAGAAGGCTGACACAGGAGGACGACCCTGAAGCCACTCTCTGAGGCAGCTTAGATGCTTGGGAATAAAGCACACAGGACAAGGGCTTCTAGCCTCTTCCATCCTCGGTCAAGGGACTCAGAATCTTAAATACCAGATGCTCAGGAGGGTCGCATGCAATGCCAAATAACCCCTCAGTGGGCAAAGAGAAAACGCCTAGGAGAAAGTGGCTCGGAGCCGTAGCACCCCACCCCCCGCCCGCCTCAGATCTGTATCACATCCGGAGCAATAGAGCACCCATCCTCAGATCTGTATCAGCATCCGGAGCACTAGAGAACACAGTAGTGTGCACCCATCAGGGGAGGCAAACAGACTGGGTGGTTCATGGTCAAGCCCAAGGGCCTGATGATGGTGGACAAGCCTGGAAGAATTAGGAACCACAGATAAGAATCCTGGTTCTGGAAAGGGAAAGACAGCCGTACCACGGAGGCTGCACAGACAGGCCTTGTGCAGGAAGGCATCTGAAGATGGTGAGGGCTGGGAGATGGTGAGGTGGGTACGGCACTTGCTGCACAGGCATAAGTTCAGATCCCCCGATCGCACATGAAGAGGCAGAGTGAGCCTGCCATCCCAGGGAGGCAGAGACAAGAGCTTCCCCGGAGCTTGCTGGCCAGCCAGTCTAGCCAATCGGTGAGCTGCAGGTCCAGCGAAAGACCCTGTCTCAAAAAAATGAAGATGCTGGAGAGAGAAATGAAGAGTACTGGCTGCTGTCCAGAGGACTCAGGTTCAGTTCCCAGCACCCACGTGGTTGATAAAGACCATCTGCAGCTTCAGTTCCAGGGGATCCAACACCCTCTGCAGCACTGCACAAGTGATGTACTTATATACATGCAGGCAAAAATAAATACGCAGAAAATAAGGTGAAGCATCAGGAAGAAACATGTTTCCCTCTAGTCTCCACATGCTCACAAAAAAATGAATGAATGAAGCAGACAACATAAGGGCTGGGATGAGCTCAGTTCCTGTTTGGCATATGCAAGAGTCTGAGATCTATCACAGTACTGAAAAATGAGACAACCCTTCCCTCTGAGGAGGTGGAATGAGTCTCACTCCTGGTGACCATGAACTGGCCAAGATGTGACCCTCTTGAGGGAGGGAAGACCAGGCTGCTGGAGAAAGGTGAGCCCTCCACCTTGAAGAAAAGAAACTCAACCCCAGCAAAAGGTCTCAGGGGTCTGAGAGGCCCCAGTAAAACTTTAAAATCAGTCTTTTGAGGTCAGATCTGCCTTAGAAGCAAGTAGGCGCTTGGAAAACTCTCAAATGTCTTGCTAGCTCTACAGCCACAGGAAGAGCCCAGACACAGTCCTCCAGTCATCCGTCCTCCATGAAGTGGACTTTGTCATACTGCTATCGGGCACTTTGGGTGGACCCTGAGCTTGCGACTACCCAGTCTGTTCCTGCTTTCCCCGATGCTACCTAATCTCTAGCACCTCAGAAGCGAGACAGATCTGAGGCCGGGGTAGGGGGAGGTACATGCGTGTTCTCCTGTCACCTTGGCCCCATCAAGGACTGATCAGACCCTGTTTCTGACTCAGAACTAGGCCTCAAGCTTACAGCACATGTCATTCTTGACAACTTCAAGTCAGCTTTCCAGTGGAGTGTCTGGCTCCTTGTTCTGCAGACCAGGGAAACTGAGGTCTGGAGAAATTTGATTGCGTGCCCAGATATAAACCCCAGGCTAATTTCAAGCCTCTTGCTCTCACCCAATCTCTTGCCCTTTCTCAAAACACTACCGGCAGGGGTTGGAGAGATGGCTTGGTAGTCAAGAACACTGGCTACACTTGCAAAAGACCTATTCCCAGCACCCACGTGGCAGCTAACGACCATCTGTAACTCTAGTTCCTGAACTTGTGACTGCCCAGTCTGTTCCTGCTTTTGCTGGTCTAGTACCCTCTTCTGGCCTCTGAAGGCATTGCATGCATGTGGCACACTTACATGCAGGCAAAACACACACATAAAATTTTAAAACGCTGCCAGCCAAATGCTGGTTCTCCCCTTAGAAAACCCTAGAAAAGGTCATTCCCATTAGAGAAGTCCCTCCACAGGGAAACTGGGTCTTGGGGCTGTCCTAGGATGAGGAAGGTAAGCTCAGTATCTGCTACCAGAAGAGTCTGGGCTGCTTTGCCAAATGTCTTGTGAGGGAGATAACAGCTCCAGGGTAAGAGACAAGGCCAACCTGACAGTGGCGCCACGGCACCCACAACGCCTAATGAAGGTTTACCGGGGGCCTCCACATCTCTTTCCTCTTTTGGTGTTTGTGTATGTTGGTGCATGTTCTAGGAACGTGCCAGTGTGTGTGTGTGTGTGTGTGTGTGTGTGGAGCCCAGAGGACAACCTTGTGCATTGTTCAGCAGACATCTGTCTTTTTAACTAACACAGGTCTCTCACTGGCCTAGAACCCTCCTAGGAGGCTAGGCTGACTGATCAGTCAACCCCAGGCATCCAGCTGTCTCTACATCCCCAGTTCTGGGATTATAAACACACATTAGGACACCTGGCTTTGTCAAGAGGGTGCTGGGGACTAAACTCAGGTCAAGCACTCTACTGAATAGGCCATCTCCCCATTCTAACCACAAGCGCCCCCAGTGTCTGACCCATTTCACCTCCTCACCAAGTTCTGCATGGCCCAAGGCCATCTTGTCCTGCTGCCTCGATCCATCTGTGGCCTCAGCGAAGCATCAGGGACTGGAAAGGGCAGGTGGCCTCAGCCCCAGTGCAGGGATGCCTACCTTTGTATCCATCTTCCACGTGATCTCCCGGATGCTCTGAAACCATTCGAACAGCTCCTCCACACGGTCTGTGGCGAACTCCATGGGAGGGTCCCCCTGCTTCTTGGGCTCCAGGATGAAGATGAATGGTTTCTGGTTTTTCCCCTGAGCGGCCTTCACTGCAGAGAGGGAATAAATAAAGAGCTGTTCTTGGCTCAGTTAGTGGTCACAGAGACCTCACCTCACACTGTCCTCTTCTCCAGTGACCCCACCAACACAGTCACAGTCAGCACGGAAAGCAATGCCAACCTAGCAGGCAGTTTCTGGAACTTTTGCACACATCATTGCTTAAGGTTTGCAGTGGGTTGACTTACGTCTTCAGAAACATATGTCAAACCTCCATCTCTGTGAATCTCCATCTCTGTGAATATGTTATTTAGAAAAAGTACTTTTGTAGATCTACCCAACTGTCTCAAGACATCCTGGGCTTAAATCCAAGGTCAGATGCCCTCGTAGGGGAAAGAAGAGGGTTAGTGGGAACCAGACCTAGGACATGGCACAGCCACCAGCCAGGGTGCGCCCAAGCTGGCCAGCTGTTGGGGGGGGGTCTCTCTTCAAGAGGGCAATTTTAAAGAAGAAAATTAAGGTTACCCAGTATCAATGTGAGATTTCTGACCTGAGGTGCTAGATGATACCCTCCATCAGTAACTGTTGTGTTCCCTCAGTTCTATCAAATCCTGAGGGGCACTAGGCCTGATGCACCCATCTTACAGGAGACAAGAATGAGGCTTGAGAGAGAAGGAAATGTAGAAAAGTACATGGCCAGGAGTGGCAGAGCCAAGGGTAGATCCTACCTGATAAGTCCCTACTGAGTGATGTCCTCACGTCCTCTAAAGAACAGTACAGTACAGGAAAGGAGATGACACAGAGCATCAGCCATGAAGGTGACAGTCCCCAGTATTCGGGAACTCACCACGGAACCTCAAGTCAGTGCTGTGGCAACTCATTTCCTCATCTGTCCACTGAGACCTTCCACCTTCCCTACCCAGTTCACACAAAGGGGAAGAGAAAGGCAGACGTCTGTCATCGGAGGGGACGGAGGGAGGATGAGGCCTAGCTCAGGACCCAGTGAGCTGCAGGGGACACAGGCAGCTCAGACAGGAAGGCAGCTTGGGCTCTGTGCCCTGAACATCCCCTGCAGGCCAGGCCCCTCCCACAAGAGCTGCAGCACACTTACTTAAACATGGACATGGGGAGCTGTGTGCAAATCATGGCCTGCAATCTCTGTATACACCTGCACCCAGGCTACACAGTCACAACCATGGTGACACATACCCGCAGTGTGGTAGACTCGGTTTCCTGGGGCAGCTGAGGCTCAGAGGGGAGTGACAGGCATATGTCTCAAGAGATTAGAGGCTGAGACTCCCAATTTTATGAGCCCTCATAGCCTGTCTAACAGCTCAGCCACCCAAAAGCACGTTAACATCAGGAGATGCTGACCCACAAAGACGACATTGATAACACCAAGTGACAGTCACCAGTGCTCCTCATGGACCAGCCAGGGCTCTGACATCCTTGTGTGTGGGTACCCACAGCAGACCCCACCATGAGGAACCCATGTGTCCCCAAGCACCTGGCTTCAGCCGGTGCCTCACCCAGGTGCAAGTGACACGGGCCCAGGGTCAACCACTTGTCGTCTTGGGCTGAACCCAAGGTTCAGGATCTAGGGGATGTGTGTGGGAATCAGGCTAACATAACATGTGTACATACCGACATTGTAGGTATTGAGGTCCAAAATACCTCTGCAGAGAGACCCAAGGGGGTTGTCTTCAATAATCTGTGAAGGAAAAAATGTAAGTCTGGGTCGCCGTAAGGAGGTAACAAGAAGACACGTGCTTTTGGTTTTCAGAACGTGCCATTTATAATGTGAAATTTTTATTTTATGTGGACGAGTGTCTTGCCTGAATGTATGTGAGTGCACCTGTGTCGTGCAATGCCACAGAGGTCAGAAGAGGGCTTTGGATTCCCCTGAAACTGGAGTTAAGGACAGTTCGTAGCTGCCACATGGGTGCTGGGAGTTGAACCCGGGTCCTCTGCAAGAGCAGTCAGTGCCCTTAACTGCTGAGCCATCTCTCTAGCCCCAGAACATGCCGTTTAGCACTGCCACCCGTGGAGGTGCTTAAAGTGCATTTTTATTACAGTGCTGGTCCACATAGAGAGTTCAGACTCCAAAGCACAGAGACGACAGGGACCAGCCACAAGCAAGCGTCTGCCTGTTTGGCGTCTCATCTTCCAATCTACGAAAACACTCCTCATGACTTCTAGAACCAGTTTCAAACCCCATCCCAGAGCCCTTATCTGATATCAGTATAAGGTGAGACCATTTGGCCTTCTGCCTCTCCAGTTCAAGAACCTTCCATGGCTCCCCGTGTCCTACGGAAACAATAGCTGTGTTCTACCATCTAGTTCCCAAGGCTTTCTGAGCCCTGGTCAACCTCCTCAGCGCAGCCCTGTTGCATACTTGAACTGTCCTGGGTACCTGCTGAGATGAAGTCGCTGCTGTATTGCCCCCGCCAGGTTGGTGATGCCATACAGTGGCAGTAACACAAAGCTTAACTCACTGCACCCCAGCTCAGTTCACAAGCTGACAGTTTAACTGTAGACAGTACCACAGACCTAGCATTATCATTGCTACAGCGATGTGTCTCCAGAGAGATCCAGGAAGCTGTGAGTCTCTCTTTAAAAGGCCATAAGTGACTGTAGTTGCAGCACAAATCACTGCTAAATCCATATCATCTACGTGGATTCAGAATAGACATTTCCTATTTTACTGAAAAATCAAGGATTTCCGTTACTGGAAACATGAGTTCTATTGAGTTTCCAGTAACAGTCTCACATTCCAGAAGCACACTCCTTATAAGTTTATATTGGTTAATTGAGCCAAATTTATCTAATGAGCTACTAAAGTGGTCCATTGTTTATGCAAATTAGTAATTGAATCATGGCTGCATTCAAAGTAGCATACTATCTGGTCACTGGATATATTCAGACATGCATTGTTTCATCTTTTATTTGATTCTAAATTCTTCATTTATTACATGGCCATCTCTCTCATTTTAAAAATTGGCTGAAATAATATGTCCTAAATGTGTGTTATTTTCTAAAATCTATAATCAAGTCTAATGAGAAATGAAAGTACTGAAATATTTCACTGTGTCAAGAGAGATGTGTGCTGCAACTATAAAGTTAACTCCAGTAGCGTGTACTGAGTATTCAAGGACATATGTACCACATGTTATGTTGCTTCACCTGTATATATGTAATCCTTAATCCCACACACAAGAAATGTGTGTCTATAAGGTATGGTAGGAATAAAATATGATCTTTTTTGTTTGTGGTGTTGTGTATACATGTATATGTGCATATATGGTTGTGGGTACACATGCACATATGCACAAGCATGTAGAGGCCCAAGGCTGATGTCAAGTGTCTTTCCTCAACTGTTTGCCATCTGGGGATCCAAATTCAGGTGTGATGTAGCAATTTCGTCTGCGATCAAACCTTCTGTAAAGGACTACATTCCTAATAAGCAAACAGGGTCACTGAGGAGCAGTAAAGATTGTGTACTTCCATCTTCTTTTAGGTGTGAGACAAGTGCCTAGGGCCTCCCCCTCTAGCCAACAGGGTTCTCTTTCCAGCAGATTAGTTCAAACCAGTTCAGAGATCCTTACCTTTGTCTGTCATTGGTTCCCTATTGGGGGTAAGAATGTGTTTGTTTATGTCTCCTCATGATACAAGTTGTGTAAATAATGCCACACAACATCAGGTCATTGTACTTGCTGGACAGGCACTTTACAGACTGAGCCACCTCCCCAGCCCTCAGTTTTAAATTCCAAGAGAAGGAACAAATCTGGTCAGTGTTTATTAATGACTGCTAAACCACCAGGTGAATAGCTAATGAACACTGTAATGGATAGATCTGTCTGACAATACATAAACCTATTTATCAAACTTACTATCACACAAAAAGAGAGACAGTCACATCTTATGTGTGGTGTAATGTATTAAGAAGTACATAACACAGACTTACCTAAATCTTATCAAATCTCTAAACTTAACTACCAGTTATAAGAAATACAAGGGATGAGGGCTGGAGAGATGGCTCAGCGGTTAAGAGCACTGACTGCTCATGCAGAGGACCCGGGTTTGATTCCCAGCACCTACACGGTGGCTATGAACCGTCCTTAATTTCAGCTCCGGGGAAATCTGACGCCTTCTTCTGACCTCCAAGGCACTGCACAACACGGGTACACTCACACACATGCAAGCAGTACACTCATGCACGTAAAATTAAAATAAAAATAGATATAAAACAAACAAACAAACAATCTTCTTTGGGATATCCAAACACAGAGACACAAAGTAGATGTAGACATTTTCAGAGACATTCACGTCAAGTACCTTCCCCTGATTCCACTTGATTGAGGGGAAGAGCTTTGAAAACTAAAGTTGCTTGTCTTCCCTGAAAACTACCGGTACAACTGCGCAGTACAGTCCCTTCCTGGGATCTCTGGAGCTGTGTCTACGTACTGTACTTGTCACTGTGTATGAAGAGAGGTACCAGGTGATCCAAGCTCTGGAAGCTCTGTCTTGTTTGGACACTTTTCCCACCCAGCTCTGACCACCATCAACAAAATGGCGAGGGTAGGTGGTATGTGCAGGACAGAACCATCCTAAGAAATTTCTAAGAGGCTTCAGCAAATCTTTAATAAAGAACTATTCTCTCTGGGGGATAGACACTTTTATTTTGGGTCCACAGCAATATCTTAAAGAGCTCCAAAAGATAAGGAAAATAAGTGTTGTGAATACAAAAATAATTTGTAGATAATAGTAAGTCTTTGTGGATGTTTTTATAGATTAATTTGTTTCCTAATCGCATCCTTCTGTGTAATAACGTTAATTTGTTATTCCTGAACAAATGTGACTGCAAAACGTGCAGTGTGCAAGGGCTAATCCATAACTTTTAAAAGGACATAATCACTTGTTTGCATCTCTGATTTTGAATGGATACCACATAAAAAGCTGAGCACTTCTACCTCTACCCCCACCCCCACCCCCACCCCTCGTTCTTGCAATCTCTTTGCCCTGTGTTTATGGATAGGTAAATTAAGAGCTGTATCACATGTTCAAGAAGGAAAAGGGTTAGGAGCTGGAGGACAATGAGGACAGCCATGATGGCGAGCACCATCGCTTGTCGTCTAAATGTTGCCTAAATCACAAAGAACGTTAAGTTCTTTGGGGCTTGTTCCTCCCTTTATTCCTCAGGCCACTCAGATGGATTTTGTGCTCAGGAGAGCAAACGGGAGGAGCGGTGGCTCTATCTTGTCTGAGCCGCTGAGTTAACGCTATAGGAGAACAGCTGAAGCCAATTCGGAAAGCCAACAGCAAAAGAGGCATTAAACATGCACTTAAAAACTGCATCCCACACTAGTGAGCTCTTCAGAGCCCAGGGAGGCAGAGCAGCTGGCACGAGATACCGAATGCTTGGAGACGGGGCCTCTGGCTCAGGACCAAACCAGTCTCTGCTTCCTCCAAAGCTCTGTTCAGTTATCGAACTGTTCTGGATCATGTTTCTTAGTCTGTGTAATGGGAACAGCAACAACCTCCATCCCAAAGGTGAGCGATAAATCATCAGACAGAAGACACTTCCCAAAGCACCTGGCACCCAGTGGCCCTCCACACTAGCTGCTGTCCCCGAGGAACATGGTCCAGCTGAGGGACAGCATTTGATCAGACCTCAGGATGCCTCCCTGTTCACAAACTAATAACTGATCTACGTTCTTTCTTTCTCAATTCTCTTTTGAAATTTTAGTACCAAAAATGCTTTGTCTGATTTAAAAATACAGAATAGGTTAAAAGTGAGAGGTCTGTGCTCATCCCCCAATATCAAGTATGTCCTTTCTTGCTTGTTAAAAACATGTATTATTAGCCAGGTGTGGCTCAAGAGGCAGAGGCAAGTTGATCTGTGTGAGATCAAGGTCAGCCTGGTCTCCACAGTGAGCCTAGGCTATCTGGGGCTACAGGGAGACCCTGTCTCCAAAAAAAAAAAAACGATGTGGGGAGGAGAACCCAAGACTTTATGCATGTCAGGACAACTGAGCTACATTCCCAACCCACATCCTAACTTTTTAAAGTAAAGAAAGCAAGTTGGAGAATGGACTACTGGGCTCCCAGGCTCTGAGACCATGTGGCCTCCTGCTGTGCACACATGCCCACACACTGCCACACTCCCATTTGGCCACAGTGCACTCATGTGGACTCACGCAGTCACACGACCCACACAAACAAGGGCAATGCTCTCCCTGGGAGCCCTGAAGCCTGTCACCATCCCTGCCCCAGGTCCCAGTGTCTCCACAGCCTGCCTTCCCCCATGTTTTTCATCCCCAAATTCAAAAAACAAATATGTTCCCTAGGTGGAACTCAGGTGCCAGGCATACTCAGCAACAGCCTTTACCTGCCTAGCCATCTCCCCAGCCCTTGTTCTTTCAAAATAACCACCATTCTCAGCTGGAAGTATATGTGTCTCACCTTTTCATGTGTTTAAACATGGGTGTGGTGTTTAATTTTTTGGTTGGGGAGGATAGAGTCTGGCTGTGTATCCCAAGCTGGCCTTAAACTCACTATATAGCTTAGACTGGTCTCAAACATGAAATCAGAACTCATGGTGATCCTCCTGCCTCAGCCTACCAAGTACTTGTGTTACAAACATGGCCGCCACACCTAGCTTTAATAATCTTTAAAATGGAAAAGTAAACCATTGTCCTAGATATCTTCAGGAGGTGTTAGCACATATAGTTTTATACTGTTGCTATTACATACACACTAAATTTAAATAAGTAGCTAAATAATAAAAATAAGGAAATCATTAGGTGTTCATCAATGCTTAACTTTTAAGTGTGATGATGACACTGTAATTAAGTTTTAGATTCTAATCTTTTAAAGATAGGTACTGAAATAGTTACAGATAAATCAGGTGGCACCTAGACCTAGTTTCAAATTAGAAAAGGATTGAAGAGAAGGAAACTGGGGGAACATCAGATTGGCCATGAATTAATAATTAATCTGGCTTATGAGTAGAGATGGATCAAACTATTCTCTTTTCTATGCTTTTAGCTATTTTTGAAATTTGAGCTGGGCCTAGTTGCACACACCTGCAATCCCAGCACTTGGGAGACTGGGGCAGGAGGATCATGAGTTTGGGGTCAGCCTAGGCTAAGAACAAGACAGTGTCTCAAAAGAAGAAAGGAAGAAAGTAGACGAAGGAGTGGGGTGGGGGGAGAGGAGGGGCAGTGAGGAAGAAAAAGAGGAAGGAATTCTTCTGTAATAAAACATTTAAAACATTTTCTCTCCTTATAATTGACCTGATAAATGTCAAACCACCATACCTTTAAATCACAGCAATTAATTCCTGATTAGATGATGATTTAATCAAGACTAATCATTGCTAATACCCATCCTCTAAAGCAACACAAACAAATGAAGAGCAACTTAGCTTCCCTATAGCTTAGATGACACTATAAAAATCCCAACACAATAGCCAGCACAGAGCAGCAACGCTAGCTAATGTCATGAGAGCTGTTTATCGACAAGTGTAAATAATACACGATTATAATTATGGCTTTTGGAATTACCAAAGAAGTGTTTTCCTTTTATTCTTATATTGGATGTTGTTGGACAGAAAGGAAAACAGCTCCGTAGTCTGTATACGATCGAGGCTTCATAAAAATAATGTTGAGTATTCTGTTCGCCCAGAAAGACACACTGAATCTGGAGTGTACTCACCCAAATCCTGCCACGCAGAAGCTGAGAATTAGTCATGCCACTGGGATTTTTGAGTCTTTAATTTGTGTCTTGCTCTACACACACCTCGACAGTTCCCATAAGGTAACGAGGCCTTTAATGTCTTCCTGCTGCAATTTGAGAAGGAAGCCTACATGGCCAAGACTGGGAAGGGAGCCTACACAGCCAAGAGGGAAACTACCTAACTGCTAGAGTTCTGGATTTCTAAAGGCCCGCACTCCTGAAGAGTGTGTGCCACAGCCCAGAGGCACCCGGGAGAGACCAGTGTTTCCAGGACAGCAAAAGGGAGTCGGAATTTATTTTCAATACTGAGGAGAGGTTCTGAAGGTCCAGAGAAACACGGGCTCTGACAAGATAAGGGCGTGTTTGAATGGGGCACTCAAGAGGTATTGGACACTAGCCTCCTGGGTTCAAAATTCCTGAATCCACATATGGTCTCACAGCTGAATCCAAAAAGGTCAAGACGGACAGACAGTGGCATCCCATATTGTCCCATGAGTTTCAATGATCAGTGATCACAGAATGATCCCCTATGCTTCAGCATGTCTGAAGATCTTGGCCTCTGTATGGTATTTAGAACAGGAAAGCACTTAAGGAATGTTTCCATTTAATTTCTGCCGGCCCATAGTGGATTTAAGGAAAATGAAGATGAAGAACAGTTTCTGCAGATCCACTTTTATGGCAGTTGATTCATAGACTACTCCATTTAATACCAACCGTGCCAGTAAAAGAGGCCATAAAAACAACCCCTCACATCTGTACAGCTCTGTACACTCAGTAATGTGCTCTCACATATGTTCTCACAGAGGCGAGAGCATTCAGGGACTCTCCAGCTTGGACGCTAGATGGGCAAGGAGTAAAAGGGCTTAACAGAAAGGAGGAGAATTTTCTCCCAGACATCTGGTCACTAGGCATTTCCTTCCCCTGCCTCCCTCTTCGTTTAAAACATCTATGAGAAGCTGTCATTTGTAACATGGGTTTTGCAGAGCCCATTGCTGAGGGTGTCGATTTAGGGTGCCACCCAATGGTGGTACTAAGCCATGGCTATGCTTCACCACGGACAAAATGTTTATAGGTATATCTGAGAAGGATCAAGATCATAACACTTTCCAACGCCTTCTTACAAGACGCAGCTATCTTTTCTTAAATCAACTCCAGAGAAATAAAAAATTTTAATGAGTATCCTTTTAACAAAAACTTTCAAAAAAACAAAGCCTGAATAGAAGGAGCCCCTGACAAATAATTGAGAATGTGAACAGGGCAAGACCTTCCTTGTTCTACCCTGTCCCTCTCCAGAGTACACTTCATTCCCTTTTTGTACTGCCTACAAAGC